TCCTTCCTTCCTTCCTTCCTTCCTTCCTTCCTTCCCTCCTTCCTTCCTTCCTTTCTTCCTTCCTTCCTTCCTTCCCTTGCTCCCTCCCTGTCTCCCTCTTGGATTTTCTGAGACAGTCTCACTAGGTAGCGCAGGCTGGCCTTGCATTGGAGGTGACCCTCCTGCTTCAGCCTCCTGAGTGCTGGGATTACAGGTGCTCACCACCTCCCCCAGCAGGCAGCAACTTTCTGAGCTGAGAGGGAAACACAGGCCGCCTGTGATCAGAGCCAGCGTGCTTTTCCCTGCAGTCAGTGACCTCAGCTGGAAAGGCTCCCAGCTGTACCAGACAGTAAGCAGGAGATGCCGAGCGAGTGGCACTTGGGCACCACCGTCCGATCATTCTGACTCTAGCGCTGACCAGGTGACTTCAGGACCAGGAAAAAACTTCCTTATGTGTAAGTGTGACAGGGTAGGAAAACAGAGGTGTCCCAGAGTCCCAAAGCTCCAAAGGATGACACAGACCCTGGGTGTCCCCAGGACCCACAGGGCTGCCAGGCAGGACCTCGGGTGAGGAGAGGGAGTGAGTCTCAGGGAGCACGTGGGTGCTGGGACACCCCTCCCCGCCAGAGAGGGAAGGGCCTTCTCAGGCCGTGTGTGGGGGCAGAGAAAGGGACTCACCCAGGGGGACTTTGAAAGCAGAAGCCACAGAGTCTGCTATAATTTGTTCACCCGTACTTATAAAAGAAAAGCTGGAACCTGGAGCCATAGTGTTCACCTGTAATCCCAGCACTCTGGAGGCCAGGGCAGGAAGACGGGAAGTCCATGCCCAGCCTGGGTGACTTAGCGAGAGCTGTCTCAAAATAAACATAAATCAGGGTTGAAGGGGCTGAGTTCAATTCCCAGTACTGGGGGCAGGGCAGAGTTGACCTCACGCAAGGCTGGGAGTGAATTCTTAGAAGAGAGAAAGTGGTTGTGGTGCCGCGGGGAAGGTGCTCCAAGCTTTGAAGAGGGCCACGGTAATAGGAGCCGGCAGCTGGTGGCCGCAGCCTCTGCTTGTGTAGGGACAGCAGCCTGTCACCTGCTGTCAGGTCAAAGGGACACCGCGTTCCCTCAGAGCAGAGGGGTCGGTGGGAGCTGGAGGGGAGGCTCAGGCAGCCTGCTCTCTGCCTCCTGTCCCCGCCTCTGCCGGCGCCCTCCGACCTTGTGCCAGCGTCTTCGGGCCCCTGTGCTATTTCTCACTCTCCTTTCACTTCTGCGTCCCTCATCCTGCTACTTTCATAACTTTGGACGAAATGCATTTAGCGTGGGTGTGCTTAGTGTTTGAATTTCGTAGCGAATTCTCTCTTTTTTTTCTTTTTCTTCCTTTCCTCCCTGTCAGATCTCTTCTTTGTTTGTCTGTTTTTGTTTTTGTTTTTTTCTCGTACCAGGAATCAAACTCACAACCTTACACTTGCCAGGCAGGTGCTGTGCCACTGAGCTAAATCCCCAGCCCCTCAGATCTCTTGCTAACTGGTACTTGTTGACTTTTTTGTCCATGAAAGTTTGGAATTATAAGTCTTTTAAATACTGTAAACAAAAGATAAGAAAAGCACCTGTATTTCATTTAGATCCGTTATGCAATGCTTTAAACACTGATGACATTAAAATCTGGCCAGGTGTAGTGGTGCACACCTATGATTCCAGTACTCGGGAGGCTGAGGCAGGAGAATCACAGTGAATTGGAGGCCACTCTAGGCTACAAAGTGAGTTCAAGGTCAGCCTGAACTGCATAGTAAAACTCTGTCTCAGAAAAAAAAAGATGCTAAAATCTCAGAATTTAAATGGTGGTTGCCCATCGTTTATAATGAAGTGTGATTTTTATTATTTTCCTTGTTTGAATACTTCACAGAATTACTGTATGATAGAGCTAGAGAAAGGATTTAATTTATGTCTCAGCAAAATACTTTTCTTCCCCCGCAAGACACCCTCATGGCTATTTTTCTCTGCTCCTGCCCAGATTAGGAAGAAGCAGCAGGAAGTGGTGGGCTTTTTGGAAGCCAACAAAATCGACTTTAAGGAACTCGACATAGCCGGAGATGAAGACAACCGGCGGTGGATGAGAGAGAATGTTCCTGGAGAGAAGAAGCCGCAGAATGGGATCCCTCTACCTCCCCAGATCTTCAATGAAGAGCAGTACTGCGGGGTGAGTGTGTGGTCAGGTGGAAAACCCATCTCTGTGTCTATGTAAATCAGAGATTGTTGAAAGCAGGTCAGTGTTGACACCGTGTGTGATATTGGTCCCCTCTGCCCACTCACGATGTATTTCTACCATCCAGTAGCTGGATGATGGACGGGTCCATGGTCAGTAATACATACTTAAGATATAGAAAGTGGTGGAAACAGTAACACAACGATGTAGAAGTTGTTCAGCTTGGGTGTTTTAGGCTTTTTGCCTTCTGTTGGAGAGGCAAGTCTCTTGTTCAAGCGAATCACATACTCAGAAAAGACTTCCGCTCAGCTCTGTCTCAGGCACACTCCAGCATCCACATAGATCCATCTACAGAAGTGCAGATACTCTGGATCCGAGATGAAGCAGTGTGAATTAATCCAATGACTAAAAATTGTTCTGGGACATTTTGATTTTAACAGCAATTTTGTTTTATACATTCAATAGTTCATTAGAGCACAAGATCACCATTTCCTCAGAGTTTACAGATTATATTTAGTAAATCAGGTTGTTCAAAAGAAACACTTAGGGGGCTATCTTGGTTACTTTTCTCTTATTGCTGAGACAAAATACCCAACACCCAAATTAAGGAAGGAAAGGTTTATTTAGCTCAGTTTGTGGAGGCTTCAGTCCATAATCAGCTGGCTCCAAGGCAGGGTGGCACACAGCAGAGGGCAATCGTTTATGGCAGCGGAAAAAAGCAAAAGCAACAAGAGTAAAAGGGGAGCAGCAGAGAGAGCAAGCAGAGAGAGCAAGCAGAGAGAGCAAGGCTCTTTCCCTCCCTTACACTGTATGCAGGAACCTGCCCCAGGGCAGGTATAGCACTCACACCCAGAATCCCAGCATTGGGCCAGAGGGTCAATCATAAACTCTAGAAGGCCGCTCCAGGACTCCATGAGGCTTTGAGGGGACATCCAGACACAAACAATAACAGGCGCTGAGGGGGAGCTCTGTGGTGGAGCATTTACCTAGCATGGTCGAGGCCTTGGGTTTAAGTCCCAGCACCACTGGGGGAAAAAAAAAAACCAGCAAGTCAAAGGACTTTAAAATGAGGACTGGAAGTTATCTTCAGGGTCATTTCTGTCGGGGGATGAGGTCTCGGTCACTGAGACAGGCAGTTTGATGCGTGCCACTGCTGAGTGCCAGGACTGGCTGTGGGACTCTAACCCCCAACCCCAGTTGCCTTCTTGCTGCACGGACCTGCTCATTCTTTGGCATAGGTTTTCTCTTCATCTAAAGCACCTGAAGAAGGAACTCAGCCATCTAAATACACAGGGCCCCATCCTATGAACCCCTGCAGTCCCCCGCATACCCATGTCCACCCAGAACTTCAGAAAGGGACCTCATTGGGAAGTAAGATATTTTCAGATGTAATCTGCTAAAGACCACACGGGCCACATGGGCTTAGGGTGAGTCCTGGTCCAGCGACAGGTGCTTTTCATCTAAAGCCCCCGTCATCAAGCACGTGAGGGCCAAGCCCCGCCCCTGTCGGTTTTCGTAAGTAGAGTGCTTTTGGAATACATCTGCCGGAACTATTTAACCATTGCCTGCAGCTCATTTCACAGCACGGCAGAGTCGAGTAGTTGAAATCGAGAGCATACGGCCCACGAAGGCAAAAACACTGGTTCCCTCTGGAGGCTCGGAGGGAGAGTCTGTTTCCAGCCATCCTTGTCGCTCCGGGGATTGCAAGAGCATCACTCCAGACCCCGCCCCGCCTCCACATGGGTTTCCCCGGTCCTTCCTAAGTGCAACAGTCCCTGGAACAGGACTCACCCTCCGCCAGTGTGGCCCGTGTGGCCTTTAGCAGATTACATCTGAAAGTATCTTACTTCCCAATAAGTCCCCTTCTGAAGTTCTGGGTGGACGTGGGTTTGCTGGGGACTGCGTGGGTTTATAGGATGGGGCCATATGACTTCAGATGGCAGGGTTCTCTGCTTCAGATGCTTAGCTAGTTGGGTGGGCACTGGACTGTTTTCAAGCAACCTTTCCGTGATCAGCACGTATTTAGGGGAACATGCGGTCCAGTTCCACTGCCTTGTGGGTTTAACCTGGCCCGTCCTTCCCACCGCCCACGCCTTTCCTGCCTATGCTGCCCCCTCCCGCTACTTCCTCACCTACATTTCTAACAACTGTGCCTCCTCTTAGATAAGGAAAGGGCTAATAGTATTTTGGGGGGGGGGAGGGCTTGGGGGTGGTGATGGTAGTGAGGAATTTTGGCTTTATTTTTTCTGAAATAATTCCTGTGCATTGAAAAACTAATACATTCACACATCAGAAACTTAACATGGTTTAGAAGGGTCTGAGCCCATTTCTGACCCTGTCACCCTAAGCCAGGCTGGCCGTGCCGGCTGCCATCTGGACCGGTGCTCAGGGCCCTTGCTCAGGGAGGCTCTGAACCTGGTTTAATACTCTGCCTTTCACTATTCTGCACCAGTCATCCTTACATATGACTGCAGGTAAGGTGCAGGAGTCTCCTTTATAAGGCAGGTCTTTCTATGGGGCATGAATGTATAATACATTCCTAGTAGATGTGTGGAATTAAAGTACAGATCTATGCATTGCACATTTGGTAGAGACTTACTGACCAGTGGCCTTCTACTGTGGCTGCACCAACCTACATTTCCATCACCTGAGTTTAGGGGTGGCCACTTCCCGGTGACATTGATAACCCTGTGCATAGCAAACATTTGGGCCTTTGCCACCTGCTAAATGAAAAATGGATTCTCACTGCCGTAAGTGGATTTCTTTCTTTATGGATATCTTTTCAAGTTATGTTTATATGGCACTAGTGTTTGTTTTTTTTTTCTATGACTTGCCTATACATATTCTTTATAATTTTTCTATAGTGCTGTAGACAATGTATATTGGTTGTAAGAGTCTTTACATATCAAAAAAGTAGTCCTTTGACTACCATAGATGTTGTAGATATTTTCCCAACCTTTCTTAGGTGCCTTTTGATTTTTTAAAGAAATATTTTGTGGTAATGTAGAACTTTTGAGTTTTTTTGTGGAGACAAATATATTTTTTTCTCTTCATGGTTCCTGGACTCTGAATCTTGTTTAGAAAAGCTTCCTCCATCAAAATATTATCAAAAGAATCATTTCATGTTTTCTTCTAATACATTTCCAATGAAGATAGTATTTCACATCTAGTACTTTTGCTTCTTTGAACCATCCTTTCAACTTAGGCTAGAAAAAAATAAATATAAATCTAGGCCAGTCACAGCAGAGAATATATTGAGGCACATGGCTTTCCATTTGTATTAAACTTAGGGGAAAGGTGCTGCAGTTATTTTCTGCTATAAAAATAAAACATGATAGACATCTTTTATCCCATGTTTAGCATTTTCTTTTCATTTTGATTGTGGAGGAGAGAGAAAATTTCCCCCAAATACTGACTTTTATTTTGTGTGCTTTCCTATTATAAATATGGATCCAAGAAGCTTATACCCTATTTTATGTTTAACTGTTTTAAGACTTTTTCAGTTCTATCTTCAGATAGGTATTAGTAGCTCTGATAGTTTGGACCTAGAATGTCTACCGAAGGCCTGTAGATTAAAGGCTTGGCCCCCAGTTTGACCCCCAGCTTGGTGTAGTGGGAGATGGTGGGACCTTTAAGAGGCAAGGTCTAGTGGGAGGACTTTGTGTCACTGGGGGCGTGACCTCAAAGGGTACAGTGGAAAGTCCCTGACTCCTTTTGCTTGCTTCCTGGCCATGAAGTGTGTCGCTGCGCTGTGCCAACTTTTCTTGCCATGATGTGTTGCCTTGTCACAAGCCCAAGATAATGACACCAATCAATCATGGACTAGAGGAAACCCCTAAAACTGTGAGCTAACATAAACCTTTTCTTTCATAAGTTTATTGTCTCAGGTATTTTGTTGTAGTGATAGAGAGCTAACACAGTGTTTTATCTTTTGAGAAGCTTTGATAAATTTGCTTTTCTGCAGTCTGTGGATGCTTTTAACAAAAGTACATTAATGAAGCAGACAGCTTTTTTTCTATAGAGTAGATAAAAATGCTCACTGGTATTATAGGCTCACATTGTAAGAGACACAACAGTTCTGAAGGGCATGTCAGGGTTAAAGTGGCTCAGGCGTGGAGAGTGAGTCGAGGTGTCCTTTCACATGCTCAGAACATAGACTGCAGGAAAAACTACTATGTAAATCTTCTTACTTGCTCCTGAGGCTCCCAGTCCACCATGGCCTCCTGATGATGGCGGCCTGGGAAGGAAGTGTCAGGGACGCGCAGGGCCCACTTCTCGGCACCAGGGCAGTGGGGATTGGATGTCGGGTTTGATCTTGAGTATCAGCACGTGTCTGCCAGCTCAAGCTCCTGGTGCCTTGTGCGGGACAGATGAAGACATTATCCTGAGAGCACGGCAGACAGCTGGAGACAGAGAAAGGGGACACCAGAGGGAAGCCTTGCTGGGAGTGGCAGGCCTGTCTGTCGATGACAGGTCGGAATCTGTGCATCTTAGTCCAGGTGAGGGCTGGGTGCTCTCCCAGGCCTGAGCGTAAACAGGAATGACTCATTCTGCAGAGAGGCGAGGAGCTCTGGGTGCACAGGGAAGTCAGGGAGACAGAAAGCTGACTCACTTAGGGTGAGGAGAGGGCTTCTCAGGATCTTTCTGTCGCTGAACAAAACTATTTTCCCTGTTTTTGTTTGTTTTTTGAGATGGGGTCTTGCTATGTAGTCCAGGCTGGCCTTAAACTCGTGGTGCTCCTTCTGCCTCAGCCTCCCAAGAGCTGGGATTGCAGGGATGCACCACCATCCCTGACTTGTTTGGTTTTTGAGATAGGGTCTCACTATGTAGTCCAAGCCAGCCTTGCACTCTCCATCCTCCTGCCTCAGCCTCCTGAGTGCTAGGATTGCAGGCCTGCACCACCATACCTGGCTTCTAGTTTACATTCTTAAAATCTATTTTGCAATATGCCAGGAGGAATGATACAGTGAGCAACCATATATATAAACATTGTCTGATACAGAAACGTGATGTTACCAGAACTTTAGAAGCCCACTGCTTGCCTCTCTGTGACCAAATTCCCGTCTGTGCCAGACATAGCCACCGAGCGAATTCTGTGCTGTTCTCTTTCTTCTACTGCCCATGCGTGTACCCAACGCATACATTGACTTGTTTTGCATATTTTTGAATTTTATGGAAGTGGGCTCTTACCCTCTGTATCCTTTGACTTGCTTCTTTTGCCCATGTATTTTAAAGCTACGCTGACGTTAACTGGCTTTGTTTATAGTTTACTCCTGCTCTCTGCTCTTCCAGGGCCAGCTGTGGCTGTCCGGGTTTTGGCTGTCATTTCCAGGTTGTGCTTGATGGGGCTCCTGGGACACGCAAGAGTGTTGGGGTGTTTAGTTTAGAAGGGGATGCAAGTATTTTCTTAACCGCTTCTGCCAGCAGCATGCATGCTCAGAGTGGGCGTTTTCAGCAGCGTTTAGCATTGTCCAGCTTTGACGTTTTCGGGATCCTGGTGGCTGTGGAGTGGTAGGTCACTGCGCGCCTGTGGCTCTTCTTCTGGCTCTGTGTGTGTTCTCTCCGTGACGTCCAAAGCTTCCGTGTGCAGTGCAGAATCTGCGCATCTTGTGTCGGTTATACGTGTTATAGATATCGTCTCTCTGTTCATGGTGTCTCTATACCTTTTTCCCCCTCTTTTCTCATCTGAAACCAAAAATGTATTTTCTTATACCGTCACCTGAAATTTTAATAACTTTGGTTTCATACTTACTTTAAGGATGCGATAAATAAAATTGACTTTTTTTTGGCAAATGGCATGAGATGATATATAATTTTAATTAAAATATGGATAACCAATTGCTGTATTTATATATAATATATATATTTGTGTGTGTGTGAATGTTGCTGGGAATTGAACCCAGGACTTGTACATGTGAGACAAGCGCTTTACCACTGAGCTATACCCCAGCCCTCTTGGCCACGTTTATTAAATAGTCTACCTTCTCTTTTTTTTTTTTTTTCCAGTATTGGGAATCGAACTCATGACCTTGCACTTGCCGGGCAGACGCTGTGCCGCTGATCTAAATCCTCAGCCCCTGCCCTCTCTTTAGTATCTGTACTCCCAGGTCGCTCATTACCACTGGTGTAGTGTTTGTAGGTCTGTTTCTGGACATCATGTCTGTCTCTAATCATGCTGCACCCCTAGACCGAAGTCATGGTCACAACTGTACTTATTTATTTATTTATCTTTACATATAGGCAAGCAATGATATTTATTTAGATACCTCAATTTTTTTTGGGGGGGTACTGGGAGTCGAACTTAGGACCTCACTCTTGCCAGGCAGGCACTTGTGCCACTGAGCTATATCCCTGGCCTTATCTAAATATTTACTTAGATATTTATTTATCTTTAAGATTTATTGACACCCCCCCCCCCCAGTTTTTGCTTTTTTAAAGTTAAATTTAAGGTCATACGTCTCTCAAGTTTGATGTATTACATAGAGATTGTGTATAACATGAGTATGAAGAGATACAAATTAGTCCATGCCCCAAAAACGTGCGAGGGTACAGAATCATCTTCACAAATATATAACATTCATGTGGAGAGAAAGGGGACAGTCTGGTTTTCCTGGGACACTTTCCAAAGTGATTCAAGGCAGGAATCACACACCCCGCCATGAACGCTCGCACTCTAGGCTTTGTGCCCATCGGAGGCCAGGCTTCGTGACTCTGATGAAGCTAAATCTATGGAATGGGATTCTGTTTCTCAGGTGAAAAAGCACAGGCCGATAAACACTGTGCAAATAATTTCTCCACAATATGGAGGATACAAACATCTGCACTTTATTTTAAAAAGCAGACACAAAAGCGTGGTGTAAATCCAAAAGATTTAAATGCTTCAAAAAAAGAATGCTTCCATTTTGGATAATTCCATTAAGAACCTATATACGTTTGTTCCTAGGAGCTAACATATCACTTGTCTCTGTGAAGGAAAATGAACTCTCAAAATTAACATGGGTTTAAGTATTTCAAATCTTACCATAATGTAAAAACCCAGAGAGACCCATCATATCCAGTAGCTTTAAAAGATAAGCTAAAAGACTATTTGCTGTAATCAACTTTACCAATGTTGTCCAGGCCTGTTTAATATATACACAGGGAAAATACATCCATTCTATAATTTCTTATAAAATAACAACTAAGGAGTCCATGCTGGAGATGTAGAAGGGGAAAGAGAATTCAAAAGTTCTTCTCTTTGGTCACTTGCAATTCAGAATAATCAAAAAGCAACCACTTCCTGTCATACTCCTTTAAACTTTGCTCTATACCGGCAATTTTGTTCTCAAATCCGCTCATGTAGATGCCTGTTCGGTCCCTGGATTCCTTGTTCCTATCCGCTTTGCAGGTCCCATTAGCACTGTTAGTCTCAGCACCTCTACTTTGAGCAAGTGCTGTACTGGCAGGCATATCAGGCTTAGATGCTTTGTTGTAGAGCTCATAATCTGCTTTGCTCTTTTGTCTTCCAAGATGTCCAATAGTTTCTATATTTATTTTGTTCAAAACTTTACTTGGCTGTGTATTTCCACCAACTCTCATTGACACTTCTTCATCATCATCATTTTCAACTGCATCCCTTGCTTCCTCCTCATTCAGTGGCTCTGGCTTACTGACGTCACACTTCTGGTCAACCACTAAATTCTCCTTATCTAGTTCTAAGCTGTTGAGGTCGGTGACTTTAACACAAGCAGTGTAAATCCACTGCTAGCTGTAATGCCACTGTGCATTACAATTGCAAATATTCCATAGCCGTCATTAGCTGGAGCACGTCCTGTTGGAGCTGGGACAGCCACCTGCTCTCCCGTGAGTCTTCTGCAGCATTGTAGGGGTCACAGCATGGCCCTGATGACGGAGAAGGGCAGTACTAAAAGGCCCTGGGGGAAGGTCTTTTGCATTTTAATTATACAAACCCAAATTCTTCTCTGCTTTGAAAATCCCAGTACTGGAGGTGGACCTGGGGCCTGGGTGGGGTGGAGATTCCAGTCTGTCCCAGGTCTCAGCTCCTGTGTAGTTTTTCCCCCTTTGCAAGACAAGCCTGACTCTACGTCCCCTGTGATTGGAGTCCTCCGCTGTCCCAGGGTTCCTGGAAGGGTTGGGGACATGTCTGTCTGATGACAGTACAGATGTCCTGCCCTCTGTGGTCTCAGCTGGGACTAAGCCAGGTCCAGATCTATAGGGCCAAACTACTAGTCATCTAATTAAAGACATAACACTTTTGGCAAAGCCATTGACTGTGAATATTTGTATTTTATCAGCAATTCCTGAGCATAAGCAGTTTGTGTGTGTGTGTATGTGTGTTCTCATGATGCTGTACAGCACAAGGAAAGTATATAAAAATAAAGTTTATGTTAGATTTCTTAACTTTTGGGTTTAGTTATCTCTGACAAACTGAGCTAGCCTTCTGTGTTAGCTCCCAATTTAATGACCGATAGGTAAAAAGAATCAGTTCAGGTAAACGTGCTGCCCACTGGGGTGCAATGCATCTAAACTTTCCTTTCTTTTGCTTCCAGGATTTTGACTCTTTCTTCTCTGCCAAAGAAGAGAACATCATCTATTCATTCCTTGGTCTGGCTCCCCCTCCAGGCTCAAAGGTAAGTTGAACATCCCATCCCGGGCTCCATGCAGGGTGTAATAAATGAAGACCAAACAACACTGCTTAATACCCGACAGTCTTTACGTTAGCATGATTTTTTGGACATGTGTGGAACACGTCATGAATGTCCGTGTCGTCCTTCTACTGGAACCATGTGTGTCTTCACTGTGTCATTTCTGTTTTAGTGACATGACTTCAATATATTCTACTCTAAGAATTCTTATGTGTATAGATAATGCCCGGTTTTTAACTAAAAAACTTCAAGATTATGCTTTGCCTATTTTTGCTGTTTGTTCTTCTTGGTTTAGTAAAGTTTACAATACTCAAATATAAGGGCTGTGGTCGGAGCTCAGTGGTACAGCATTTGTTTGCTTAGTGTGTGTGTGAGGCCTTGGGTTCCATCTCCGTGTAAGAGCTGTCCCAAGGCCTATGATGTTGAACTGAGGGGCCAGGGGACCAAGGGCAAGTGGGCGGCTCTTGGGCCATGACAGGACTCTGGAGTCTTTCTTATGTACAGTGGAGATACTGTAAGGGCTTTAGGAAGAGGACTCTAATAATCTCACTGCTTTCTTTAAAAAGGAAATGGCTACATGGGACAAATGGATTCTGAGTGTGCAAACTATTATTGTACTGCAGAGGAGACTCATGCAGCTTGGATGGGGTGGTGGGGAGGCCAGCAGAGGATTGGATGATTGTAGGGCCCATTTTGGTGGAAGAATTGCTAAGGCTTGCTGGTGAATCGAATGTGGGTGAAGGGATAGCGAGAATAATGAGTTCTAGCCACTGTGGGCAGTGGTTTGCCCTGGTGGCAGATGGAATTTACAGAGGGATGTTACACTGGAGTGACACCTTGGAGTGAAGAGGTGAGGTAAACCGTGATATGCCGTCTGCATCTCAGCAGATTTCTGTTGGAGATGTGTGTGTGGATGGAGCCAAAGTCGGGGAAATGGATGAAACTCAGCCATGAGAGAGGATCGGGTCAAAGACACCAGGTGGGGCTGTGGCGGGCTTCAGACTTGTAGCTGGGTGGAGGAAGAGGAGGAGCCAGCTGAGGCAGGGCCCAGCAGTGTGTGGTGGTGAGGAAGCCCCAGGAGCATCTTTCTCCACAGAGGGGGTGAGCTCAGTGGTGCCTGTAGCCATCACAACTTTTGTTAAATACACATAGGTACATCATAGCTGACTACATGTACAATTTTTACTTATTAATGTCTTAAGTCTGTTTAAGCTATTACGGTCTCATAATGGTCCTAAAAATAGCTTATCTACTGCTCTATCAAGTTAGCATTGCCATAATTTTCTTTACTGTGCTTATAATTTGATTGTTTACCGTTTTTAAAAATGATAACTCTGCAGTGATTATTGCAAAAAAAATAATGCTCTTTCTTTGAAATATTTCCTTAGGACAAATTGCCAGTAACTCTTTTAGTGAGACCAAGGTAGCCAATATATTTATGGATTTGGAAGGTGCCACAGATTGCTGTGGGCACCAGCTTCACTCTGCTTTCTAGACATGAGTGTCTTTAAGCTCCTGGATGTTTGGGGCACTCCATTCTATTTCAAAAAATTGCTTCTGTTTTAAATGTGTTTTTGTAACTCAGTGCATATTTTCTGAGAGCTTATTTGGAGGTTCTAGCAGGAAGCACAGTTACTTGTATACCCTTGACGGAGGAAATAGTTCTTCTCTGTCGGTGGTGGTCGTCCTCTCTGACAGAGCACACAGCTTCGGGAGGGACACACATGCGGCGGTGAGGGAGGAAGGGGATACCTGCCTAGCCGGCCAGATCAGCTGCATCAACCCCGGTGGTCAGTGGGGTGGCAGACCTTGCAACCAGATCATCCTCACATCCATCAATGCATATTTTTTGTTTGATATTCTTTAATCGACAAGTAAAAATAATGAACATTAATTGTGTGCCCTGTGATGTTTGGAAGTATGAATACATTGTGGAATTGCTAAGTTAAACTCATCGACATATGCATTACTTCACTTTTGTGTGTGTGTGTGTGTGTGTTGAGAACACTTAAAGTCTCTTCCCCTAGTGATTGTCCACACACAGTACACTGTTATTCACTGTGTCATCATACTTCACAACAGACATCTTGAACTTATTCCTGTTTAAGAGACAATGTGTTTTTATTCTGTCCCAGAATTCAGCACCAAATCAAATGGTGAAAAAGGCAGGGAAGAGAAGGCATGTCTAACATGGAATATTTGAGCAATGCCTCCTGTTTCTATAATAATCCTTGCAAGACTTTGACCTTTCCAATATTACCCATATATTCATCTGATAAAATTAATTTCTTCTTTGTTTGTACTGGGCCCACCGGACCTTTTTAACCTTGGAAAGTCATGCCCCTCAGTTCTGGAAAAGTGTTGGGAGTCTCTCTGGGGTTCACTTTCTTCAGTTTCCATTTTATTTTCTTTTGGAGTTATTTGAATGTTTGGTTCTTCTAGACTAGTTTTTCAGCTTTCTTATCTTTTGTCCCTATTTCTTATACATTCATCTTTCTACTTTCCGGAATAGTTCCTCATTCCTGTTTTCCTCCTTTCCTGGAGGCCGTGGATCTAGCCCATCTCTAGCTTTACATCTATCTCTCTGTCTCCACAGACAAGATCTCATACTGTTTTGTACTTTTTAAAATGCATGATTGTTATGAGATGTTATAGAATTTTCTTTTTTTAAACATTTTGGGGAGAGGACACTAACTGGTTGTGGGGTCCCAAAGCAATGGGAAGCTGGAGAGAAAAAGCTACAAAGAATGGCTTTCACCCCAGATAGCTC